TTTTTTTTTTTCAAAATAAAATTTTTGGTTTCTATCTGAAAAATCATTTCTAATAAAACTCCTCTGAAGTTAACTAGAAAAATATTTCCATTTTAATAAAATTTATATATGCATATTATTTGATACAATATTCACAATAATTGTTTATAAACAATTATTTTTATATCAAATAAAGCAGTTTCACAATTAGTGCTATTTMAAWGTTTAAAATGTTGATATTATCTACCCACTCAAACACTCAATTGTTTTTCATCTGGATAATTTACTAAATAGTAAATAGTGATCAATACCTTGGCATAAATCATACCTTTAATAGAACAGTATTTGATACCATTTTAATCTATAATTGTATTAATTTATTGCAGGGTGATTTGGGTTGGATGATTCGTGGCTCAATGGTTGGTCCATTTCAAGATGCTGCATTCGCTCTATCTGTATCAAATCTGGCCAATCCTATTTATACCGATCCACCCGTCAAAACTAAATTTGGTTACCATATTATTATGGTTGAAGGGAAAAAATAATAATTTTTGTTGTTTGTTACATTATGATAATTATTAAAGAGTATTTTTGTTTACTTGCATTGCTGATTGAGTAAAACATGTATAAACCAAGTATGTACATGTGTAAGTATAAAATATGTCACTCTGTAAGTGCAATAAACTGATTTTTATCATATTATTTTTATCATATTATTACTGATTTTTTTTTATTGCTAACACTATTAATTCTTTTATTTTCTATAAATTGTTTACTAAAACCATTAATACAATAAATATTAAAATTAAAATTAATTTACAGATTATAAGATAATCATATAACACAATGCTAATGAAAATAATCATCCAAAATATATTTATAGTACTAAATGATCAGAGAATTATTGAATGATTTTAATTTTTAATAATTTGTTTACCAGATTTTATTATGTACCTAYCTATTAAAATATTTTTGTATTAATTATTTAATCGTGTTTAAGTAGTAGTCTTTCACTTACTGTAAAATTACTAATTGCATAGAGAAAACCTTTTTATTACCTGCTACTTGACATTTGTATGACAAATAGAAGTGTACAACCCAAATAATAAGTTAAATGAAGTCTATAAATATTTTTAAATATGTGTTATTTTAGTTCATAGATTTAAATTGTATTATATACAAATAAAAAATAATCCTATATTTTAATGAACAAATAATTAAATGCATTTTCGCGTTTTTATAGATGTTTTGTCAAAAATGTTTATAAGGATGTAATCAGAATTTTATACCTAAGGGTTTTTTCATGTAAGAAATCATTTCTGAAGGTCTCAATAATATTTTATGGTATTGTTCATAATTTTGAGCACAGTTTTGTCATCTATTGGCAACCACTATAACTATTATATTTTCTTGATTAAGTTTAAATTGGAAAAAAAAAAATTAAATATTGAAAAAAAAATGAATCAATAGAATAATTTTGTTGATTACGTTCTCAACACTAAGCCATGTATATTCTTGAGCAAACAGTATTATTTATTTCAAAGATAATTATAAATGGATTTACTTCTATTTTGTTGGATGATCTTATTAAAAGTATTTTTCAAATTTTATCTCAAATTTTGCTATTTAACATGTACAATACATTCTCAACATCCGCTAAGAAACTTTGGTAATGTCATTCTAAAATTTAAGACACCTTATTTAACTTTAACAAACAAATTATAATTAATTTTAAGTTTTGACAATAAACAAATGTATAATTTATGAGAAACGGAACTGGAGTTAAGTTTGGTTACCTAGTAACTAATATTAAATTATATGTATAAAGCAATTCTAAATTTTTGTAAACTTATTAACATACCATCTTAATTGTGTTTGTGTATTTCTGGTTTGGAGTCACTGACCTGTAGACGCTTTAGTGTATATTTGATTGATTTTGTGATTGAATATTTTATGTACAAGAAATGAATGTACAAAATCATTGAATTACTTGATTTTTATGATTTTTTTCTATTGTAGATATTTTTATCAGTTACCGAATAAGTGAAATTTAAAATAAAGTTATAGACGAGTCAACCCTAATACTTTTAAATTATTTTATTAGTATAAATGTATAATTTATTAGCATTATTACAGTGTTTGTTTTGTATTGGTACCTATAATTAAATTTTTCTTATACAATATATAGACATATAGTATGCCATACTTTTCAATAACAATTTGCAGATGTTTCTTTCTCTTATGCTAATGAAATGAACACAATTTTGATTAAGATTAGAACTGTTATACTAACTAATTTAACTTAATATTGTATATTATGTTTAAAATCCATGCATCGTTACAAATTAATTTTAAAAAAAAAAATGAAATATATTTCACATTTTAGGTTTAATGTTATTACACCTTTGTTTAATAAATAAATAATTTGGGTAACAACCAAAATACCCAAACTTTGAGGCTTTTAAAATAAAATTATAGTTCAGTAACAAAATATATAATTTATGTATTACGGTTTACTACATTATTTTGTAGTTAAAACTTTTAACAGAAGTTGTTATTAATACAAAAATAAAATATGTTACTCAAACTATTATTGTTTTAACATATCATAAAACTTATAAGTATAATAATATAATGTACACAGATTAATAACAAACGGATGTTAATGAATGGTCATCATTGTTAATGGTTACCCAACGAGGAACTAAGTTGATTTTGAGCAGAGAGGGGTATCACAAAACTAAAGGGTTTGAATTTATAATAATTAATTAATGTTAGGTATTATTATTATTATTATTATTGTACAAATATGAAAAAAAGAAAATACAATAAAACTATTCGTTTGTATAAGTCGTAGTTTCTATTACATCAGCTGCGCTGACTTAAAACATAGGTATGCCTTTATATAAAATGTATTTACATTAACCTAGCTTATAATATTTATAATTAACATAATGACGTAATAACTGCGGTGAACAATGATCCCGTCGTAAATCGATGTTCATCGATAATATAGTAATAATATGTACACCGAACTTTGGYTTAAAACAGTTTGTTGTCATCGACGTTGAACTTCTGGAAATAATAGTATAAAAAAAAATAAATTATTAACTGTTTTTAAAACATGTCATTATTCAAGTTCAAATGACTTAAAAATGTTAAGAAAATTTCAACCAACTCCCAACAGACGAATACAAATTTTCGTCATACATAGTGCTGCATGGTTAGTGACCAAAATATAAGACTGAATGTTAAAAGTCATTTACACATCAGGTCAGTGGCTTTTTTTTTTAACCAAATATATAGCCACGGTATCCAGCCGCTATGAATACCATGACAGATTGGATAAAATAATATTCATTAATAACAAATTTTTGAAAGGAAAATTCTATAAATTTTTAATTATTTATCATGACCACAGTGACATTAGAAAGTACTTGTGGTGCACAGTTTGGGAATCGCTGTATTAAGTATTGCCTACTTTTGAGATTTAAATGTTTTTACAGTCACTTTAAATATTTTTGATAATTCTTGACGAGTTACTCCTTGCCACTGTGTTTAGCAATATAAATGTCCWTATTGTTTATATGATCTGAAGGACTTGTAACGATTACAATTCCGTACAATTCCACATTCTTGGTAACTTTGTTCGTAAACCGTAAGTAATAATAAATCTGTTTGTATTAATAATAATCTTGACCAATCRTTATTTATTTGTAATATTAAGATCCTAATACCATTCATGCTCCCGAGCTACGGTGACAATATATTCAAAAGAACTATAGTTTCTTCCCTGAATATCTTATATTTAACGGGTCATCCCCGACCACGTTACAGACTTGCATAATTAGGATATCCTATACTAGAACCTAAAGAAGACACGTCAATCTCAGATTCTGAACTATAGAGTTATAAGCTAACCAAAATTAAAAAATTCATTGTAATAATGTAGATATTGTAATCATATTAATCGTATATAGTACCTAACATTGTGAAAATACCTGGTGGCTGGTGTATTGATGACACAATTAAATTAATTAATAATAATAAAAAAAAAGACTTGTATAACAGTAACTTTTTCCCTTACAGCTAGTGTTTGCAAGTTAGGTATATACATGTTTTTTTAAAAAYATTACGTTTTCACAACAACAAAATAACCAAGAATTTTCGCCGTTCATAAATGCATTGAATCGTGAAGGTGTCTTTTAAATCGCGTCAATGAAAGCAACAAATTAATAATTAATCACAATATTGAGAGTCAGTCAAAAAATGATCTGAGAATACACATGCAGTATCTGTACTCTGTGCCACGAGAGAAGTAACTCGAGTCCCGACCAAAACGCATTCGATTCTAAGCACAAACTGGAGGAAACGCCAACCAACAGTCGCCACCGTCAGATTGCATACCTATGCGAAACAGGTYACTTCTCTCGTGACACAGAGTATAGCTAAAAGTTAATTCACATAATAATATTATTTAAATAACCTATAATTGGAAGAACCCATACAGCACGCTATTCGACAATTTTCCTCTATAGGCAAAACCTATTAATAGTTTTGTTTTTTTATTTTTTTGCTAATAAGTCACCGTGACAGCAAAAACCTTATAAAAAATACAATTTTTAAAATGTTAAAATATAATTTTAACACGGCGTGATGTATAGGCAATATGGGTACATTACAAAGCGTATTTAAATTTTATGTCCAATAATTTTATAGGCTTGCTGTTATTACAGATTATTATTATGTATGTTGGTATGATACCCCTAAAATTAAATTTAACTTTTAATGGGTAAAAAATAATTAATAAACGTATGCAGCAGTAACTACACTCAGAATTATAATATCATAATATTATGTTTTTATTTTTTACAACGATAATAATAATATGATATTTATTTATTCCAATATCTCGATTAAGAGTTTCCTATTTATTACYGAATGTAAAATATAAGCATTAGCTCATTAGAAAAATAATAATAGTAAAATATATCGCGTCAAAAAATCAGATAACRGGGRCGTGAAGCACCGTCTTTTACTTGTGAAGCATTTTYTTAGCTCGAGTATGTTTTTTATTATAAGCATTTGAATTTAAAATTTTTATAAATAATTGTGTATTTAAATATTTATGAAATGTTTTTGTATAGTTCAGGCTTAAAAAATAAACAAWAAGGTTCTCAAAGTAGTTCACAATGGAATCAACAAATTGAATATTTATATCGTATGCAATACTTTTGATAAAAATTAAATCAACCTGTCATAATACTAATAAAAAAATGAAAAAGTGATAACAATTAAAATATTACATAAAATATCTTACACTGGCTAATATAGTAAAAAATATTTAATAATATTGACTGAAGGGGTCAGTTTAACGTGTCCTGAAAGGATATTCATGTATAACACGAATCTCAATGTACCTTATATAGCATTTGTCAAATTTTATCTCATAGAATTTAGAACGTTCAAACAAAAGAAAAATAGAAAAATGACATGGTAAAAATCGAATATTTTAGTGGGTTTCCGACACCAATTATAATAGAGGATTAAAAACACAAGACCATTTTTTGTTTTTGGCCCCAAAGTGATATTTACTACTTTTGGCTCATTAAACATCGAATAGTTATGAATTTATGGCACGCACAAACCTACGAAAAAAAAATCAACATCACCTATATAGCAAGCAGTGGCGAAACAAACCT